GATTATTATGATTATTATGATTATTATGATTATTATGATTATTATTATTATCGTCATCCAACATGGCCGCCGTGTCTTATGCTATTTATTCCCTTGGGGATGATTGGAAACCAGCAATAGAAGTGGTGCATCTTTAGAGGGATTTAATTTTGCATGTCAATAACATGATCTCAATTCACAGGAAGAAATGGAGAGAACTGAGTATGAGGGCTTCCATAATTTATGGGCTGGAGTGGGGGGAAGGGGAAAGCTAGGGAAGTGCTGCAAAAGTCTTAAATTTATTATAAAATAACTGTCATAATTCTCGTGCTCTGATTGGTTGTGAATCACATGCATTATGAGACAACTATCTATTTCGTCATTCTTGACCAAAATAAAGGCTTCTCTAACGCGTATTCTATAAAAGAAATAACTTGAAAAGAAAGAAAAACTTGCTTGCGAAGGCTTTAATTTACCCATTGATAATTTTTGACTTTAAGGAATGTATTTGATCATTAAAGTAATGTATTTGATCATTAAAGTAATGTATTTGATCAATAAAGTAATGTATTTGACAAATAAAGTTCCGCAGTAGAAATAATTGAAAAACTATATGCTTTTTTTTTTACGACGAATAGCACTTGAAGCCAGTTTGTTTGAGTTTACCTCGGCCATGTTTTAGTAGCCCAAGTTTAACTATCAAATTTCATTGACATGATAGCCTAATATGAAACAGCCTATAGGCTAATCACAGTCAGGGCACGACTAAGTGAAAAATCGAATTGGAGTTTGGTGTGTTTTGATCAAAAATGCTGTTTAGTATGCGGGCGAGTATGCGTGTGATGTGTATGCATATATACAGGTGGACTTATATGAGGCTATAGAGTTTTGAGTCTAAAAATACTGAAAGAAAAATTAAAAAAATTCCCCAAAAGCGTCTAGTTTATTCGATTCTATACTATTCCAAAGTTATGAAATTAAATTTTCATAGGCGCATGCCAAGAATAAAGCTAAATCTTTATGACATCGGGTTTTCTAGAATCCTAAATTTTCAAAGAGCGCCTTCTAAGTGGTTCCTATTCAATTCAAGTGTTTCTTCAAGGCGTAAATTTGATATATTTTTAAAAATTGTTAAAACCTTTTTGCGCCCACGAATGGCGAGTGAGTTTTCGTGTAAATAGAGAAATACGTTATTAAAAATTCATATAGGTTTGGAATTTCTGTTACACGTTCTTACCAGATAGAAAGCTCTTGATTCTCTGTGTGCCCACTGACCGCCAATTTTGTGTTATAAGATAAATCGAATTGAAATTTTTATCTGAAGAAAAGCTAGTTAATCTAATAAAATAGTGATTTGGAAAGGCATCGTTTTGGGAAAATAAGATGGAGTGTGATGAAATTATCGAAGCAAAAAATTAGTAAAAACCTTACTTCTAACTTAAATGTGCATCACAACACTATGTATGTACTATGCTTTTAAACACCATTAAGCGGAAACGATCTTGCTGATTAAGGTTTCAGTTGCGAAGCCGAAACGTCCCTATGTATAAAGATTTTAAGTCAGAGACAACTTTTATTTATTTTAACATTATGTGTAACTGCACTTTTCCCGCCTACAAAAAACGTCTAATAAGTCAGTAATGTTCTTATTGTTTTTACCTGCCTTGATATAATTTTAAATTCTTGGATTGCCTTGTTTTCAGTTTTTGCCAGTAGTCTGTATGCGCACGCAGTCATTGGTAAAAGCGGTCTATTTCGCAGTAAGCATCAATCAAAGGTGTGCTATCCATTACCAGAAATTATAACGCTTGTCGTTACAGAAATATAATTGCTACATTTAGCTTAAATTACTAATATTAATTTAGCGTGGCGTTGAAATATCGAACCAAGTTATTAGGAGCGTAAATTTACTAAACAATTTTGAATTTACACAGGAATGGCGATGAATGTTGGTGAGGGAATGGTCGCGCAATGGGATCGGAATGTGAACATTTTCTCGAACACCCCATCTAAAAACCACAAATGTATCAGAAAAATAGGTCAAGGACAACTTTAAGATGGTTCTCAATACGAAAACCCCAAATTGTACCCACATGTGGCTTCAAGAAATATCTGTGAGAAGAGTTTCTAATCGTAGCATGTAGGGTTCATCGCGATAGCGGGTTTTCGGGGATTTTAATCATCCAAAACCTCAATCTTCTCCAAATGAAACTTATCTCTCACACACATTAAGCGGTTAGAGCATGTATATAAAAAGGCTATTTGAACAATTAGCTTATTTTTCAATTTAAACGGTTTTTGAAGCTTATCTTTTTACTCAAAACCAGCTAGAATAGTAAAGTACTTATTCACCCACTGTATCATCAAAAATGCTGATGATTCAAAAATCGATAACTTCGTAAATTAAAACCAAACCACGAAAGATAAAAATAGAAATTCACAGACAACTCGCTTTGCAAGCTTTAACTGTGATCTAAGCTGTTTTTGTCTATATACCGGCAAAATGTGTGCTATTTTTTAACTTTATTATGTAGTAAAAGCGTTAGGAAATTCTCAAGCCTATGATGTTTGTGAGAACAGTTCATATTAACTTCGATAGCTTCATAGCGGTACAAACCACAATCTAAACATAGCAGGTTTTTCTCATTTTGTTTATATTCTGTCTCATCAATATTGTCCCCTTGTTGTATATTATCGATATTACTGTCTTTTTTTCTATATTCACGTGCTGTCAGAGACCAAAGCATACATTAAAGAGTAAAAACATCAACACAAAAAGAAATATGAAATGAATAGAGAGGAAAACTTCTTGCAATTTTTGTGGCCTTTTTTATGAATTTGGATTTGACAAGGGAAAAATATCAGACATAAACTTTTTATGGGAATTAGAATTAAAACAAAACTAGAAAATGTTTACGTTTTTCTTTCTCTCGCGGATTTAAAATTCTGTATTACTCCTTGTCCATTTTACTTCAGGGAAAAAAGTAGTTCTGTACTAGTGTTTTTTTTCCAAGTTCAAGTTCATATTTATTGCCAAGAAAAGTGATAAATAAATTAGAAGAATGACTCAAAAGCCTGCAAAAGTAACACGTTTTATCAAAGCATACCATGAGCTGATAACGTTCATGGTAAAAATCCAATTGGAATTACAGTGGATGAATAGCTACTCTGTAGAAATGCCACTGTTAAATCCCATTTATTTATTTAAAAAAAAAAATCCTACCGCACGAACTAGTAGGTCCCAAATAGATCATGAAAAAAACCTATCTGGACATGATATACAATGCATAGTCAATTGTCGAAATAATTGTTGTAATAAAAGAAGAAAACTAATTATTTGCTCACCACTTTATGGGAATTTGATATTACAGATTTTTTGTTTTGTTTTGAGATTAGAATATTTCATTCAGAATGGATCCAAAGAGACTGAGATGGGATTGGGAAAATGTGTTATTTAAATATGGAATGTTCCTCGTGATTTAGAGAAGAACTTATTATAACATTTTAGGCATATTAAGCCAAAACTTTATAGCTGAGTACTTTTTTGAACCAAACACTTATGGCTTGGTTCTATTTCTCTTTTGTATCAAAGCTATATGCGTTTTTCGAGTTACTTGTCTAGCCGATCAAAGTGCTACTACTGAAGAGTCTTTACGGATGGCTAGCTACAAGAATGTTTAAGTTAACTGCCGATTTTAGAAGCGAGCACTCTTCACTCTTCAACTGGTTTGACTATAAAGCACTTGAAGCAAGCGAACTTTTGCTACAGAAAGGCAAGAAGTGAAGCTTTTGAATGCTAAAAAGCCATAGGGAATCTATAAACAGCTGCCTTTACTCAGTATTTTTTTTACTTCAGCTCTTTTCTTGTACTTTTATTTTGTGTTTTCCAATTCATCCTGTTGAAAAACGCCATTTTTATTAACTTGTACCAAAAATGTACCAATTTCCGAAATGCTAATTTTTTTAGTTTGTTCTTCTTTTTTATTACATATACTTTTTTATTCTTATTTTGTGTTTTCTTTAAAATTCGTTTATTTGTCATGAGAATTTTGAGCAAAAAGCGAACATTGATAATCAAAACCCGGTCTCTAAGGAAATTTTGCGTAAAGTCTTTCGATTACCTGGGCCAACACAAGGAAATACCGACGTCTCTTCGTTATCTCAAAGCATAGCCATTGAATGTGTTTTGGTTAGAGATAGAATGATTATAGAAAACACCGAGTCAAAATAAGATTTTTTTTAAAATTCAAAGGCGGCAATTATTATTAACGGTTTCTGACTTTCCCTTGAGAATTTCGATGTTTTAAGATGCTTTTTCGCTTTAACGACTTGGTATCCTTGTTCAAAAATTAATTGTCTACAAGGAGATTTATCATCTCATCTTCTCATTCACTAAGCATACTGTGATAGAAAATCTTAACGATGTTTAACCGCTTTGATGTGCTTAGCGTTGCAGATCAAATATATTAAAACATTGCATTACAATACTTAATAAATACAATCATCATATGTCCTGTCCTAGACCGGCGGCATTCCGCTATAGACATGAAAACATTTGGTATCAGAGTCGAACTATTCAAGTATTATATGAGTTAAAATCCTTGCATACCAGATTCTGAGTTAGATATTTTCTCCTCCTGGCGGGGCGGCTGTGTAGTTACTTCAAGATCTTCTGCTTTGCTTGAAGGATTACTTTGTGTTGTAGGTACGCTGCCATCTTTGAGCGCTCCGATTGGAATCAGTCCCAATAAACAAACAAACAAAACCAAAAGACCTTGGAATCTAGGCATTCTTGTTGTAGCCATTCTTAAGCTGTTTTCCCTTCATTCGCTATTCAAACTATGTGAAATTCAGCAAGGAATTTTGTGTTTTTCCGTCCCTTCGTACTATGTTTGCCAATGTCAAAACACCTGTGTCAGTCTTGGGCTTTCTCGCTCGTTGATTGGTTAAGAGTTTATTGGATCGATTGAAAGCCAAGCCTAAGCAGTGGGCCGTCTTTATTGTACGATTTAATGAGTCTACTCATAATATCAAGCTTCAGTAGACGTATTTTTTTCTTTAGGATGAACATTATTCGTGTGCAAATAGATGAACAAAAAGAAGAGTGGGGTTCAAAGAAAACAACCTGGAAAAGCTACAGTTGGGTTTAAAAATTAATTACATGAATTCTTCCGGCAATGGATTCTCCTCGCTTTAAAACTCATGTCTTTGGTGTTAAGTAGATTTGAATTTAAGGTTTGTAGTTGTATTCCTATCTTATTGTTATCACTTACAGACGACGTGATTGGATGTCCAAATTTTACAAGACGAAGGAAGGAGAAAAAAGAGTGTGATCTTATTAAATATTCCTGTGTTCAAATTTGTTTGCTGGTAATTGTTAAACCACTTGATACTTAACCTTAATTGAGGTACATTTGTAATAAAAGCTTTTCGTTCGCAGCTAAATAGGATATGTAAATGAATGAACGAGTGAAATGTCTATATTTACTCCGGCTATCGCACGCGCGATTAAGATTTTCTTCGGACGACCGAATGAGTTTTAACGTAGGAAAATAAAGCATTTTTTGTGCAGGAAAAATATAATTCATGCATCTAGTAACTTTTCAATTTTTGCCGTGTACTGCAATAATATTTTTTTGAGAAAGGTATAGGACGATAAATTGAAGTTGCGTATTTCATCCAACAAGGGAAAAAGAAATTTCCTTCATTTCGTGTTTCTTAGGATATGAAAATGCTCTAATAGTGATCGCGATGTGCGCTAAGAATTCAAAAAACATCAGGAAGGAAGGATGGGGAAAGGTGTCTTATTCTTCCCCTTCCTCACAAGCAATTAAAGAACGTCTTAGCCTCTCCATTTGAAAAAAAAATGCGTTTCTTTTTTTTACTATTTGAGGTATAGAGGGTCGATCCCAGAATTATTGACCATCTCCAAATATAGGATAATATATGTAGCACGTGACTACCCATAAAAATCGCGACAAGCAGATAACAACCATCCTTAGCATCAGTAAAGCGTATCACGTCGTAAGACCAAACAGAAAGAATTGTCTAGAAGTGTTTCTTGGCTGTTACTGGCTTCGAACCCTGATCGTCGTGTAAATGTTATTTTTATATATTCGGTTATGTGTTTCGGTCTGGTCTTCTTGGGATTGACTGTAATGTATATATATATGACACCCATATGCAAAAACTCAAAACTTTTTACATACACATTTATTTCAAAACCAAAAAAAACAAAAACAAAAAAAACAACAAACAACGCTTTCGATCGGAGTCGTAAATCTGATACCAAGTAGCACGCTGCAAATTGTAATTTCTTCAAAGCCGAACAACGTAGTTTCCTTTTGTATTGCAATATGAAGCATGACCTTTGAGTTATAAATGTAATTTTTTTTCGTATTTTTGCCAGGAAACATGTATAAAAACACAGAAATTCCTTTGATTAGTATAGCTAATATAACTTTATAGCATATTAACTATGGTCTCAGATCTCCCATTACAGAGTCTCGGTCCGACAACTTAAAAAAAGGGTATTTTTGTACAGTCACAAACAAAAATGTTGACTCCTTTTTCTGAAAATAAATACTCAGTGTGACCAAAATAAACAGCCCTCTATTAAGCATTGTGTTTAATCAATCTCTTGAAGTTTCACGCGCTTTTGTGATTCCATCTATTTGTTTATTGTTTATTTGTTTGTTTGTTTGTTTTATCATCTATGATTTTAATTATAATTAGCATTCATTTGCAGTATCGTTGCAATCTTTTTGATAATCCAGCATAAGACCTAGATTAGATAATTAATTAAAGTTCACTGATTTTAAATGTTAAAAATTGACAAAACACATGTATGATATCACGGTAGTATTCTTGGGCCCAGTTGTTCAATAATCCTGGGTTAATTCTTAATAAGACCTATAGAGTAAATCCTGGATTAGCGCTAATCTAGCTTTGAACAACCCGGCCTTGGAGTGCATGTTATGTAATAGCCGCCATCTTGGTTGACGATGACAAATCTTTTTTCCATAGCTTCTCTTCTTAGTAGACCAACCAACATGGCGGCTGTCTTCTTGTTTTTATATATATATATATTTCTGAAGGGATTTTGATTCATGTAGTTGCACTCCAAGAATATGGATTATAAGCTGTATTCTCTTGTTCATTGTAAAAGAAAAAGCTTATCCCAGACACAATACATGGATCAACTACGTCTTGTACAAACCTGAGGTCTGGATAAAAACGCACAACAAGAGTACCAGAAGATGGATCCCCTTAAAATTTGGATGGACTGCCATCACCTGCAAATAAAATACATAACATTTAATACTCAGACCAATACTCACTTCCTCGATCATTTCAAAGGAAGTCTGGTTTAATTATTTTAACAGTGGACCAAATACCAGTGATTAGTCACTACCAAACAAGTACTTAGAAATCAAGATAATCCGAGTTTTGATTCAACAATTGCTTGCATGATCGCCTTTGTTCGTTACGACAAAAAAGCGACCCGCAGTTTATTTTTAATTAATTTTTTTTCTTACCAAGATGACTGAATATAATAGGTCAAAGTCGTATTTATTTGCTCGCAATAATGATGACCTTAAAGATTACGAGCTTCAGATTCGTGCAGGATTGTTTGTTGGTAACGAAACTCTTTGAAATGTATTTATAGTGAATTTGTGAAAAAATGCGAATACAGACGACAGACATGCCTCTACAGATACAAGAAAAAATTGCCATACATAAGTAGGCAAAAAATTGCATGAAAAGATGGCAAAACGTCTGAATTCAAATTTTTTTTAGTAATAAAAAATATAAATAAACAAGGAGCAAGAACGATGATCAAGGAGAGATTGCAACATTGCGGTATTGTTTGGAAAAAATTTCTGAACAAGATGCCGGGAATTATTTCAGAAAGGTTACCAAATGTTGGCATAGGTGGCGATAATTGTTTTCTAAAAAGAGAGGCTTATTATTTTTTATAATTACGAATAAGTAGTAAGATTGGAATGAATTTTCTATCAACCATCAAATAACTACAATCTTCCTATTCACCCAACATTTTGCCATTTAAAGCGGAACTTATTTTTTTATTAAACCTTAAAAAATTCACTTTATTTCTTGCTGAGAATTAAACTGGATACTTTCCAGCAGACAAAAAGATCTAAATAATTAATTTCTATGGAAAATATAAATTTTTGTCAGTATTTCTTCTTAGCTTTTTTCATCATGCATCAGTTAAATCCATTCAAAATTGTCATACTATTTGTTAAAATTAATAAATTAAAAGTAAAAAACTCTAAAGAATTTCAAACCAAACGTTTAGTCAGGATTAGACCTAATGATGACCATACAGTCGAAAAAGTTTTATTAGTGTCCATTCATAATAAGTCCTGATCAAAACTAGTCGGAAAACGTTTGGTTTTATTCTAAAATCTCCATTCCTAAGCCATAAATATGCCTACTGATGTTAGGCCTGCATTGGAGACGTTGCTTCTGGTCTAAGGTTACGATTTGGGCACTGATCAAAACCAATCACAAACACATGCAATTAGTAGGTTATGTTTAAGCTTAATTCATTTATGTTTGTTTGCAAACGTTGAAGGCAATTCAGTTATAAAACTACTAGTCAAACTTTGCAGACAAAGTAGATGTTGTGCAGGTTTTCAGTCATTTCCAACAGAATAAAACAACAAAAGACGTAGCGGCCATGTTGGTTGGATAAACAAGAGACTAACGACAAGTCTTGTGACCGGCGTTCAACCAAGATGGCGGCTATGAAAATCCCGTAATTGGGGGACAATCAATCAAGGTGTTTCACAGTATGGCATTTCATAAAACCTAAAAGGCACGTATCCTTGAAAACTTTGCATATTTGACAATATCACGGAAAACCTTGACGTCCACCAATACCTAATTCGTAGTATTTTCATAACGACCCAACGAATATTACTAAAGTCGGTGTAATTGTTGTTTTCTTTTTCAAGAAATTGCTTAGAAGCTAAGACAAAAATTATGTGTAATTTTTTTAACTATCACAGACGCCGTATGTTTTCAATCTTGTGATATTAAGAAATAATGTAATAATTCTCGTGGTTGGACTTCTGTGTTGACCTATCTTCATTATTCACGCTCATGCGCAGTGTTAAATATGCACCCACACGATCCGAATGCATTGCGCACAATGCACCCTCGGTCAATATGTCAGTGTCATCGTCTTTATCATTACACATTTAGGGTCGATATCAGTATGATAAAGCCGTGAATAAAACCATATCAGTGAAGTGATACGATATCACTTCACGGTTAACTGGAAACTGAAACTCGTTGAACTTTGTTTGCGATATGATATGGAAACTCGTGAATATAAACGATATCAAGCCCTTAACATGTGATTATATATATATATATATATATATTCCTTTTTCGTCAAAAGGAATATTTTCTATCCCTGGAAAACATGGGTTTTTCCTCCCCACGACGTGAGTTTGGCTGTCGTATTTTCCTTCCCTATTTACAGCAATGGCAGTATAGTTCCGTGAACTAAGGTATTGGGTTAGTTACGAAGGATTTTATAGCCCTGTTAATAATGGATCTCATGATAGGCAAGTCTACTGCCAAGTCTTAAATCTACCATTAGTGTTGCTAAAGAGAGAGCGACAATGTTAAAATACATCGTGGTTATGGCTTGCATGTCGTGGGGGATGTAATGGTGATTTTAACATTCATTCAATTACAATTTCCTGCTGTTTTTAACCAACCAAGGGGGCCGAACCGAAGAAATTGTTTATTTCTTTTGTCCATCTTTCTTTTCTAGTTTGCTGTCATGCTGGTAAATCAAGAAATAAAAATATTATCCTAATTCATATGAGGTTTAGCTTCACTTTTCTAGTGAGATTGCAAAATGTGTTCATTTTGCTTTTGGTCTAGTGAC